CCCCCCCCCCCCCCCCCCCCCCACTGCCCTCGCGCAGCTGCTGCGGAGCAGCAGTTGTCGTCCGTTGAGTACTCAGACTTCCAGCTGCAGCGGCAGGAGCAGCAGCAGCAGCTGCAGCAACAACAAGAAAGACAACGAGCGTGGTGGCGTCAGCAACGGCTGCACAAGCAGTCTCAGCAGGACCATCTCGAGGAGCGGCAGCGGCAGCAGCAGCAAGAGGAGGAGGAGCAGCAGCAGCAGCAGATTTCCCACCACCAACGGCCGCAGGAGCGACAGCAGCGGCAGCAGCAACACCGGCGGTGGCAGCACCGAGCGTGGAACGGGGCGGTGGCGGGATCCGGCGGCAGAGACGAAGAGGCGGCAGATGACGACGAAGAAGAAGAGCGTGGAGAACACAGCAATGATGGGGACCCCGCGACTAGGACCAGGACACCCCTCGCCCCCGTACCGCGCGCTCGCGACGAGAGGCGGGTGCGGAGCGCCTTCGGTGCGTGGAGATCGGCGGCGACCAGTGCGGCGCGCGAGCGCCGGTCGGCGCGGCAGGCGGCCCGCAGGGGGGCGAGCTCGGCGGCCGTCGCGGCCGGTGCAAGAGCGGCGGCCGGAGTGGTCGTGCACGCGGAGAAGCGAGCGGTGCGCCGGTCGTTCCGGCTGTGGATGCGCGCGGCCGAATATGCGAGGCGGAAGGTTTGTGTTTTTGTCTTGAGGTGCCCGACGGCAAGGTTTTCTTACTCTGATGGTGATTCCGAGTGGTTTGTGTGTGTGCCCCGATAGTCAACGGTGAAACTTTTTGTACCTCACGGCGATAAGAAAGCAAGGGGTGCCAGGTTGATTTACAGCTGTTCTACATCGGGAAAATCGGGGAGCGATGCCAACACGCACTCGCTCGTGGTTGATTGTTTGCGTCCCACATTCACTTTGCCTGCACCCGTCTGTCTTGACAGGACCTTGCGCGGCAGGCCGCCCTCCGACAGGCTACCAGCCGAGCCGCCCAACGCTGTCGGCAGCTGAAGGTCTCGGCCTTCCAGCGCTGGCGGCTGGCGACAGCGGCTGCGGCGGTGGAGCGGCTGAGGCGGCGGGAACGGGCGGGGAGCATCGGGCGCGGGGCCGTGGTGGCGGAGGCCGTCCTCCGGAGGCGTGACGCCGGGAGGGTGCTGTCCGGGTTTCGACGGTGGAGGGAGGCCGACGAGGAGGTGAGAAGAGCATCGGGCCCAGGCATAACAAGGGCTGGGGAGTGGAAGAGAGGCTGGACGGACAGATGGCACGAAGTGGGTAGGCGTTTGGGTGATCGATTCATGTTTGGATGCGCGATGCTGCTGCTGCTGCTGCTGAGGCGGTCGAAAGGATGCACGTGCTTCGTGGCAAGGGCCTGCGCAAACTATGATTGACTGGACGATTCAACGGTAGGCTCTTGGTTTAACGAAGACCAAGAAAACCCAGAGGCGCGTTGCTAGATTTAGCTACCAAACTATCTCTCGTGCGGTCGATATTCTGGGGAGGAAGAAAACATGACACTGCTGCCGCAACGAACGGCTTCGTCTGCGCAGAGAATCAATCCTTAAGGGAGTCAACACATCCTGCTCCGTCCTCGGTGCTTCAATTGCTGTCCCTCTATCGATTAGCGCCCCATCTACCTGCTCCGTTGGTTCCCGAGCTATCCCCGACGGGGTCTCCCCCCTCCCCCCGTCTCGCCTACCGTCTGCTGTGGCCGGGCGTCATGCTCCCCCTCCCCCATGCTCGTGCCAGCTCGTGCAGGCAATTGTTGCTGCTGGCCAAGCCCGCGACCGCCGCGCAACGGCAGCCGCAGCCACCGCGGCGCTGCTCCACCGGCGCCGCCGCAGCCTCCTCAGGCAAGGGCTGCAGGCGCTGGGCGCGGCGGCGAGGGCGGCGGTGGAGCGCAGGCTGAGGGCGGAGAGGGCGAGCCTGTCCGCGGCGATGAGCAAGCGCGCTTCCCGGACGCTGGTGCTCACCCGGTGCTGGGATGCTTGGAAGGCGGCCGCTACCGCCGGGGGCCTGGCGAGAAGGTGAGAGGAAGCGCCCGGTGGGTGGGTGGGTGGATGGGTGCGGGAGGTAAATGACAAGAGTGAGGTGCCTGGCGTGCTGGATTTGTTTCGTGTTGGTAGGAGGGACGTTCCTCTGGGTGGCTTCGAGACGCGGGAGGGAAGAGGAGGAAAGGTGGTGGGAGTGTTTGGAAACTGACATGTACGTTTTTTCGATTTTGCCTACCGTCCCCTTGAAAGTTGGGCTCGAGTGAGTGTCTTGAGTTTCGCTGTTGGCCTCAAATCCACTTCTTCGTGACACCGATACCTATTTTGGCCCTCTTCTGCCCAGGAAGCACACGTCTTTAGTTTGTTCGAGCCCGATGTGTGATCGGATGTAAATGTCGCATTTCGACGCGTGTGCACGTTGCACCAGGCTGGCAGCCGCAGGGGCGCAGGCCCAACGCATGGCGGCGGAGAGGAGGCACCTGCGGGCCGAACAGCTGGCGTGGGTCTGCAAGGCCGCTTTGGCGGCATCAGACGTGCGTCGCAAGGCGCGCGCGTGGCGCTTGTGGCGTCAGGTCCAGGTCAGCAGCCCAGAGAACATTTACCAAACCACTATACCAGCATACACGTTATGTTTAGTGCTCGTCTTGTTGCCAGCCAGCTTTTGGATGGGTTGTTGGCTCTATATCGGCAGTTGTATACGTTTCGAGGAGAGTGCTTGTCTTGTTGCCAGACAACGTTTGGATGGGTTGCTGCTTGTTGGAAGGCTCTACAGTGACCCCGATCTCGCTTTGTTGCCTGGTACATACATGGTAGTCAGCAAGTTGCATGGTCGATGTTGAACAGCGTGGCGTTGGGGTGAGAAAGACCGTGGTATGTACCTCGCGGATGACCCGTCGCCGAATTCCAGGCAACGAACGTCCTCGGCCGACTAAATTCGCCATCCTTATCCTCTCGTGACGCACATTGTTCTCACTCCCCTCTGCCCCCCCCCCCCCCCCCCCCCCCCCCCCCCCCCCCCCCCCCCCCCC